AGATAGTATATAACTAATTAATGCTGTTTTCAATTGGAAAACAAATCTAAATAAAGTCGTGGCATAACTGCTGAATTTAAAAAAAAAAAAAAATGTCTATCATATCAAAATTTATATGAATCTAATAAAAACTTATTTTTCAAAAAATTGCAAAAAAGAGCTATTTTAATAGATAATACTCTATATGCATAAATAATGTAAAAAAATTTTAATGATAAAATTGATTTTTGAAACAGTATTAATAGCACTATTTTGGTATAACACAACAAGATGATCATATAGAATATTCTGTATTAAAAGGGCCTATGTTTACATTTTTCAAAAAATAAATTTTTATTAGATTTATATAAATTTTGACAATTTTTAATTATAAATGAAAGTCAATTTGTATAATAAAAAATAAAAGAAATATTTTATGAATCTTCCAAAGGCCAACACATTATGAGATTACCTGATAGTCACTATTACCTTTAACCAATCAAAATCATGAAATTAAATTAATTCAAAAAGTAAAAATGAGTTCTTTTAATACAGCATATCTACTGATTTAATTTTTAGAGTTATTTTTTTGATAAACGGTTACATGAACTATTGTCAATAAAATTACATGAAAACAATAAACAAAATACTCAATAAAAGAGCTTCTTTAGTTTCATATGAGATAAATAAGAAATAAATACTAGTAAAACTGTTATACTAAGCTGTAAAAGAAAGTATTGTTGTTATTTTTTGAAACTTTTGAGTATTTTTAAATAGTGAATGATTAGTTATATAATGAGTAGGGGTGAATTTGGAAGCAAATTTTCAGAAAAATGGCCTTTTAACTCACTATTAACCTATAATTAAATATAAAGATATTACAATACTCTATATACTTAATTATATCGTTGTTATGACAAACAATGTAATTCTTATTATAATTAGCTGATTTTAGGGTTAAACCAAATCAGTACATATAAAAACTTGATTGGATTAAATCACATATATTGTTTGTTTTTATGATCTCATGCAAAGCTCATCATTTTATGTGGCAATTAACCTCAAATTATGTATGTATTACCTATTCATTTATGTGAAATTATATAATAAAATTTTAAAAATATATAGCAAAATATGCAAATAAGGTAGAAATATGCAGAAAATATGCGACTACTTATATGTGACTAGAATTCTGAAAATTTACTGTTATTTGAATATTATCATCATGGTTAATTTATTTTAAAACAAAAAAATCATATTGATATATAATTATATATATATATTTTTTTTTACTAAAAAAAAAACAAAGCTAATCAAATTTAAATTTTGAAAAGAAAAAAAAAATGTTCAATTACATTTTTAATTAAGTTCTTTAATGTAATCGTTAATATTCTTATTAATTATATTCTTCTGTATTACTATTAAAGTACATAAAATTTAATGCTTCAATAGATGTTTCAGAAAGTGAATGTCAGTTATTATCAAGGATGTTTTTATATGCAGAAAAGCTTCGTTCTACATTTATACTTGATACTGGAAGCCAAATATAATTTAAGGCTAGTTTTGATAAATTAGGTAAACTTTGAAGTTTTTCTTTTCAGTAATTATTTAAGTCGAAATTTTTATTATCAGAAAAATCTTCATTTAATCCACAATAAATTCTCCACTCTTGAATAATTTGATTGCTTAGTGATTTAAATTCCTGAATTTCTGAATATAAATAAATATTTTGACAGTGTTGTTGAATATGAATATACCGTAGATCAAAACATTGAATTGCTTTAAATAAAGGCAATGCAAGATGTTGATTGATATGTTTTTTAAACTTATTAAATGCCAACTGGTATGCTCTACGAAACATAGTAATATAAACTTCCATATCAAGATAATTATCTTCAAATTTAGATCTTATTTCTTCACTAATAGGAGGTTCGATTATACCTGATTGTAACAAGGCTTCAAGATTTGTTAATCATTGTGCTACAAATGGAGCAACAGGTTTTTTTCTAGTTTCAAAAAATTCAAGATCTTCTACAAGACTAAAATAGAATAAATATATTTTTTATAAATAAAACAGTACTAGTATGTACGTATTAGTATTACTTACTGTTTTGCATTAATTGATATAAACATCGTTAAAATTTTAAAAATAAAAGTATTTGTATAATTATTGAAAATTATTGCTAATTCTTGAATTGCATAACTTTCATTATTAATCTGTTCTTCTTCAGGATAAAATAAACGTAATTGATTAATATTTTAATTAATTCAAAAAACAAACTTAAACCAAGTATTCCAACGTGTTTTAACAGGTAATAGTGGTAAAGTAATTTGATTACTAATATTATCGTTATCATCATTATCTATTAAAGATAAATTTAAATTAATATCTGATTTTAAAAAACTTATCTAACGCCTTTTACGAGCTGGACAATGAACAAATGTTGCTTTGATATTTTTAACAATGTTAGCTAAAAATTGAAAATTTTTATAATGAATCCATGTTTCTCTTACTAAATTTAAAATATGAGCTATGTAACGATTGTGTATTAACTGCAGAACTAAAGAAGATATAATTTGAAATACTTTTATCATATATGCTGCATTATCAGAAATAAAAAAAATAAGCTTATCAAATGAAATATTATAAAATTATAAGGTTTTTATAACTAATTGAGCAATAGAAGTACTATCTACAGTAGTAATAAATTCAGTTTTAGCAAGTTTAGTTTGATTATTAAAACAAAATAATATATTAATAATGGCTCTATTGCATGCATCCATAGTCTCATTAACAATAATAGAAATTTGCTTTTCTTTTAAAAGGTTTTGTAATTTTAAAACCTCAGTATCAAATACTTTTGGTAAATATTTAATACGAAGTTGATTTGAATTTACAATCATACCACCTAATAAAATTAATATAATAAATAAAATTTATTTATTTACCATTTTTACAATATTCTAACAAAAAACTTTTAAGCTTATCAACTTTATATAATAGAATATCAGCTTTAGTAAATACATTTACTAAAGCAATATTAATAAGCTCACAGTCACTTAATTTGATGCTCACTGTATCAAGAGTTGTTTGGTAAGTTAATCTTAATTTTTCAGCTTTGATAATATTATTTTTATGTTTATCGGATTTTAGATGATTGTCTACTATTGATTTTCTTGTATAGTCTACAACATGTTGACAAACTTCGCAAAATAATTTTTGACCATCAACATAAAAATTTGTTTTATATTCTGGTTTTTCAACTCGACGTTCAGCAGCAGAAACCATTTTTTAGATTTATAAAAATCAAAGAAAAAAAAAAATTTCTTTTATAATATTATCATTTATTTTTATTATTCTAATCAAATATCTTTTTTTTTTTTTTTTTTATTTATTAAACATGGCATCGGCCGAACTTTTTTTTGTGTTTTGTTTTTGGTAA